CTGCACAAGACCTTTTAATAGTGTTGAAGAGCAAGGTTGTCAGTTTGGGGATTAAAGTGTACCTGACTCTCATACCCTCAAATGCATGTGAAAGTTGGACAAGGAATAAGGAAGACCATAGAATTGATGCTTTTGAGTTATGGTGTTGGAGATATTGCAAGTACCAATGACGGCCAAAAAGAACAAAGAGATCTGTGTTGGAAGAAGCGCAGCGAGAGTGCTCCATGGAAGCCAGAATGGCCAGAATCTCTCATACTTTAGATATATTGTCAGGAGGGACCGGTCACTGCAGAAGATCATGTTTGGTAAGGTGGAGGGTCAGAGAAAAAGAGGAAGATCCCCAGCGAGATGGATTGGCACAGTGGCAGCAGTGATGAGCTCAAATGTAGCAATGATTGTGAGGTTGGCCCAGGACCGGGCAGTAAACACTGTTGTGTCGTGCATTGGGTAGCTATGAAATGAAACTGACTTGAAAGCATCCAACAACTATGCTTGAGACCAGTACTCTCCTAGAGTTCTACTTGGTTTGTCAAGCACTTTGTGGGTATTTTAAATGTGAATTTGATGGCTTTCAGGTACCACGGACCAGTACCTGTCCTTATGGAATGAGCCTGCCAGGTTGATGCCTGTGAGAGTCAGTCCTTGAGGGAGTGAGGAGGACCCACGTAGCATGAACTTGCTCAGAGGCTTATGGCCCCAGAGAAATCCTAGCTCTCTTTTAGCGTGCACGTTGGGCAGGCAGTGACTATCTTTGCTCCTCAGCCTCTTACCTGTGAACTAAGAATAACTGTTTACCCTACAGGGCTACTGTTCTAATGAAATACAACAACCTGCAATGCTTAGACAGGTTGGTAAGTGGTTTACTACAACCACGGGCTGTTAATGGAAAGGTTAGCAGTTGGAAGACACGCAGCAGCTCTGTTGAAGAAAAGGCCTTGTGCCCTGTTTCTGTCGAGATGGCAGGCGAGAACTCTCTACCGGGATAGTTTCACTCGGAAACCCCCCAGGGTGGCCATCAGCCACAACGAAGTGCTCGGAACTGGAAGCAACTGGGAGGGCACGGAGGCAGCTCACTAAGCATGCGCCAGACAAGTAACTGACCAGCAGTGAGCCACCGCCCTCCGGCCCCGCCCCTCCCACGCTCATAACTTCCTGGTTTCAGTTCGAGATGGGGTCCTGGGAAAAAAGGTGGATTGGGGTGTGTGTGCGTGCCTGGTCACTTGGGCAGGCCCACCTTTCTGTTTTAGCTCTCCCGTCTGTCAAGTGGGGATAGGACTATGGGGTGTGTTGACAGGGAGCACTGTCTGCCCAGTCTGGAATCAGCCCCCACCTTACTCTCCAGCCTCGGTGCCCAGATCCCGTTGTACCCCTCCCCCAGAGCTGACACCCCCTTCCCCTCCACTCCCCGCCACCCCCTCAGTCCCGGGGCCCACCTCCCTCGTTGGCCCCGGCCCCGGAGTCCGCTTCGAAGGCATCGAGGCGCCGTAGTAGGTCGTGGCGGGGCAGGGAGGCGAGCAGTTCGCGCAGTAGTTCGGGTTGCTCCGGGCTCAGGTCGCTCTGCTCCAGCAGCAGGGAGAAGAGGTCCAGACCGCTCTGCACGCGCTCTAGCTTCCTCTTGCCCACGCGCTCGCTGCACAGGAACTTGAGCACGTCCAGCTCGCTGCTCGACAGCCGGGACGACAACGAGTGCAGGAGCACCAGGAACGGGTCCATGGCGCCCGGCTCCAGCGGTCTCCGACCGGCTGCAATCGCTCTAGTTCCACCGCCGGCGGAAGTCCGAACGGAGCAGTCTCGCGAGAGTTCCGGGTCCCGCGCAGCCGCCGCAGCCACCTCCTCCTGGAATGTGCACAGCCGCCGCCAGGGGGCGTGCCAGGGACGCGGGTGGCGCCCGCGGTGCGCACGGTTATGGGCTCTGCGCTTCTCGGGTAGACTGGGCGGGGAGGTCTCCGCAGAGCCCGCCAGTTTGCGCAGCACACCGCTCCTTGGTCCAGGGTCGCGGACCCCGCGTTCCATGGGCTCACACCCCACCGGTATGACCGACACCGACTTCGAGTCCGATTCATGGCAGAGGAGGGTTGTGCTCCACGAGGTTTTAGAGCCTGTCACTTATCACCACTAGATCGCCAGGTCTTTCTTCCTAGGCACCTTCACGTGGCTTTGGACCTCTAAAGTTGCAACTGGTATAGGCAGCCAGTTAGGCCATTCAGGAACTGTTTAGTTACCCCACCCCTTCCTCCCAGGAATTTTCTCTGTGTGGAAAACAGATTTATTGTGGTTTTAAGGTTCAAGTTTTATTTACACGCGATTTAAAAGTGACAGTTACTTTAAAAATATTTCTTGAACGCCTACCATGTGCCCTAGGAGCTGAGAACAAAGTCGTGAACTAGGCAGATGAGGTCTCCGCCCACCTGGAGCACCACCAAACCGTTGCCATCTAATTGGTTGCCATTGGTTGTAGACTCAAAGCGACCAGGGAGCAGAAAGCCTCACCTTTCTCCCGCGGAGCAGTTGCTGGCTTTCAACTGCTCACTGCAGTTAGCAATCGAGTGTTTATCCTATAGCGACGCCAATGGACGATTGTTGTTAATTGGCCACAAGGCGATTCCCACTCAGAGCGACCCTGTGAAAGGTTTCCAAGGAGCAGCTGGTGAGTTTGAGCAGCTGACTTCGCAGTGGGCTGTACAAAGCTGATCCTACAGCGCCACACCATGGCTCCTGTTGCTATTGTTGTTGTGGTTAAGTGCCATCCTGTCGGTACTGACTCATAGCGACCTTATCCACAACAGAACGGAACACTGCCTGATCCTGGTCCAATTTCACAATTCTTACTAGGCTTGAGCGCATTGATGCTGCCACTTTGCCAATCCCTCTCGCTGGGGGAGAGGGATCTTCCTTTTCTCTGACCCTCCACCTTACCAAACATGATATCCTTCTCCAGCGACTGGTCCTGCCTCACAATATGTCCGAGGTATGAGAGACTAAGTTTGGCCATCCTGGCCTCCAAGGAGCACTCTGGCTGCACTTCTTCCAAAACGGATGTGTTTGTTCTTTTGGCAGTCCATGGCACTTTCAGTATTCTCCTCCAACACCATAACTCAAAAGCATCAATTGTTCTTTTACGGTCTTCCTTATTCACTGTCCAGCTTTTGCATGCATATGAGGTTATTGAAAACAACATGGCTTGGGTCAGGCACACCCTAGTCCTCAAGCTGACATCTTTGCTCTTCAACACTAAAAAGGTCTTGCGCAACAGATTTGCCTAATGCAATATGTCTTCTGATTTCTTGATTGCTGCTTCCATGAGTGTATCAAGTTGATCCAAGAAGAATGAAGTCCTTGAAAACTTCAATCATTTTTCTGTTGATAAGAATGTTGTTTATTGGTCCAGTGGTGAGGATTTTTGTTTTCTTTGCATTAAGATGCAATCCATACCAAAGGCTGTGCTCTTTGATCTTCATTAGTAAATACTTTGAGTCCTCTTCACTTTCAGCAAGCAAGGTTGTATCATCTGCATATCGCAGGTTGTTAATGAGTCTTCCTCCAATCTGATTCCATGTTTTTCTTCATAGAACCCAGCTTCTTGGATTATTTGCTCAGCATACAGGTTGAATAAGTATGGTGAAAGAATACAACCCTGTTGCACACCTTTCTTAATTTTAAACCATTCAGTGTTCCCATGTTCTGTTCGAACAACTGCCTCTTGGTCCACATACAGATTCCTCATGAGCACAATTTAGTGTTCTGGAATACTCATACTTAGCAAGGTTGTTCATAGCTTGTCATGATCCACAGAATCAAAAGCCTTTGCGTAGTCAATAAAGCACAGGTAAACATCTTTCTGATAGTCTCTGCTTTCAGCCAAGATCCATCGGACAGCAGCAGTGATACCTCTCGTTCCACGGCCTCTTCTGAATCCAGCTTGAACCTCTGGAAGTTCTCTGTCAATCCATGATTGTAGCCATTTCTGTATTACCTTTAGTAAAACTTTACTCGCATGGGATATCAAAGATATTGTCCGATGATTTCTGCATTCTGTTGGGTCACCTCTCTTTGGAATGGGCACATATACGGATCTCTTCCAATCAGTCGGCCAGATAGTTGTCTTCCAAATTTCTTGACAGAGATGAGTGAGTGCCTCCTGTGCTGCCTCACTTTCTTGAAAGATTTCAATGTTTATTCCATCAATTCCTGGTGCCTTGTTCTTGGCCAATTCCTTCAATGCACCTTGGACTTTCTCCTTCAGTATCATTGGCTGTGGATCATATGCTACCTCTTGAAACAGTTGAACATCAGCCATTTTCTTTTGGTACAGTGACTCTGTGTATTCCTTCCATCTTCTTTTGATGCTTTCTGCATCATTCAATCATTTGCCCAGTATTTCAAGTCAAGGCTTGCCTTTTTTCTTTAATTATTTCAGGTTGAGAAATGCGAGGATTTTCTATGGAGTCTTGGTGCTGTAGCATAAGCACTGGACTTCAAAGTCAGTTTGAATCACATGATCACGGGTTCAAACCCTTTAACTGCTCCTTGGAACCCTTATACAGGGTTGCTATGAGTCAGAAGTGACTCAACAGCACTTAACAACAACAACAACAACATACGTACCCCTCCCCCCCGCATATATACTACATAATTGGGTGCTGTTTTACTCTGTTGTGAATAGGGTTACATACATATATGTAATATGAAATACACATATTTTGTTGTTGTTCTGGTGGTTCTGTGCCGTGGAGTCGGTTCCAACCCATAGTGACCCAGATAGGGTTTCCGAGGCTGTAAATCTTTATGGGAGCAGAAAGCGTCACCTTTCTCTCACAGAACTGCTGATCTTGACGTTTGCAGCCTAACTCGTAACCACGGCACTACCAGAGCTCCTTGCTGTGGTTCTTAGGTACCATTGAGTCAGTTCGGACTCACAGTGACCGTGCGTACAATAGAATGCAACCCCGGCTGGTCCTGCGCCCTCCTCACAATCGTTGCTGTGTTTCAATGCATTGTTGCAGCTGCCTCGTCATTCCATCTAGTTCAGGGTTTTCCTCTTCGGTTGACCAAGCCTGATGTCTTCCTCCAGGGACTGCTTTCCCTGGTAACATGTCCCAAGTACAGGACACGAAGTCTCACCATCCTTGATTCTAAGAGCATTCTGGATATCTTTCTTTCAAGAAAGATGATTCTCCTGGCAGCCCATGGCATAGTCAGTATTCTTCCCCCGAACCCTAATTCAAAGGCATGCATTTGTCCTTGATGTCTGTCTTAGCTCTCTACTGCTGCTATAGCGGAAAGATCACAAGTGTGTGGCTTTAACAAACTGAAATTGATTCTCTCACAGTTTGTTGGTGTTGCTGTTAAAGTGCCGGGGAGTTTGAACTGCGAACCTTTCAGTTCAAACTGACCTTTTGGTCCAGTGGTAATTCTACAGCATCACACCAGGAGTTTAGGTGGCTGGAAGTCTCTCTGTTGGCTCTGGGGAAGGTCCTTGTCTCCCATCAGCATCTGTAGACTCACAGTCCTTGGAGATCTCCGTGTGTCTCAACATCAATCTTCCTCCGGATCTAGGAGCTTCACAACACAGGGGCCCGGGTCCAAAGGACACGTACTCCACTCCCGGCTCTTCTCCATTGGTGGCAGTAGGTTCCTCCTTCTCTTCTCTCTTCTTTGATCTCTGATAGGATAAAAGATGTTGCAGGCCACACCCCAGGGAAACTTCCCTTACATG